CAGGGGTAGCCCTGCCCCCACCGCCACCCTGTCCCCGGGGCGCCTGTGACAGCCAGGTCGCGCTGGCACGTGGCCTAGGGAGACGACAGGTCGGCCTCCAAGCGTCTGCGTGCACAGGTCCACGTGGAATTGCACTGTGCGCCCTGCACACGAGCTTGGTCCTGTTGCTTAATGTGAGGACGCGGAGACGTCGCCTGTGACCGTCCCGTACTTCACGTGTCGGTAACAGGTCACTTCAGCCCCGGACATGCTCCAACCACGGGAACATCTCGTTCACTTAGAAACGTTGTGACCACGCGACGGCCCCGCGTGGTGGCCACGGAGCAACCCCTTCCCGCCTCTGGGCCGGCAGTGTTTGCTGGAAAGCAGTGCCGTGCTGGTGGTCCCCTGTGTCTGCTTCCCCCGCTCTGTGGCGGCTGTGTCGGGACCTGGGGCGTCCACGCGGGACCCACGGCCTTCGAGGCCAGGCTTCTGTCTCGTGCGTGACCGCCCAGGGCAAGTTCTGGCTCCTCAGCCCATTGCTGTCCCTTCCCGTCCTGGCTGGCTTCTGACGGCAGCACCTCCTGGCCTGTGCTGGCGTCTGCGGCGTTCTTGACCTCGAGGGTAAATCAGAACGTGTGCCCCCTCTGGGCCTCTGAGTTCCCCTGCCCGGCACAGCACACGCAGCCGTGCCCAGAGCCCGCTGTTTGTGTTCCTGGGGGGGCACCCGACCCTGCCTGCCTGTTTTGCCTTTTCCCATTTGAAACTGGAAAGTAGGAGGAGCTAAGTCCGAGGGCGGTCCCAGCTTCGGCTCCTAGGGGCCTGATCCTGCCACCTTGAACACGACCTCGCCCCCACTGCGTCTTGAGCGCCTGTGGGCTCCCGGGCCCCGGGGACGGGTTGCTGCCAGGAGACGGACGGTGACGGGGCCCCTGGCTCCTTCACTCCGTTAGGACTGCCCCGGGATCTTCTCGGCTGGCCTGGACCTGACGGAGATGTGCGGGAAGAGCCAAGCGCACTATGCCGAGTACTGGAGGGCCGTGCAGGAGCTGTGGCTGCGGCTCTACCTGTCCAACCTGGTGCTGATTGCTGCCATCAACGTGAGTGTCCCCGCTCCTGAGTGGCCTCGCTGGCTCCCCAGAGCCAGCCCAGCGCGTGGCGGGGGCATGAAGAGGTCCTGTCCTTGGGAAGGCTGGGAAGGGAACAGTTGGGGGAGACCCTCGGATGTGCACAGGGGAGCCTCCACTGCAGACAGGCGTGACCTGGTGACGGGGTGCTTCGCGGGGCGGGGGGCAGGGACCAGGGCACGTGGTCGACGCGGCCCAGCAAGAGGGCTGTATAGGGAGAGGGGCTTGAGGAGGGGATCAGAGTCACATCTGGAAACATCGTTCCGGTCTGCCCTCGAGAAGGTAGCGGCTGTTCACGCTCAGGAACCGGTGTGCCTGAAGACAGGGGACACCCCAGGTGAGGTGCCGGAAGGGTCTGAGCCAGGGGACGGGAGGGTGGCTAGAGTCAGGACGACCCACGAGGCGCGTGACAGCCAACGGCAGCTTGCCGTCTCTGTTCAAGGCAGTGCAGTTCGTGAGACGAGGGCGGTGTGAGTTGGGGGTTCCCAGGACATCCCGCTGGGGATGGCGATGGGTCCCGTGGGCCGTGACGGGTTGTGACCGCTCCGGCCGGATGCTACTTTGGCGTTTTAGCGTCCGGACCGAAGCCGTGAAAAGAAAGACGGCTTGCCACCCAGACAGGAGGGAGATTTTCTGGTCCCCGAGAGCTGGTGGCCCTACGAGGTGACGGGGCTGATGGGCAAGCCCGAGTCCCCGTGGTGCACGGCCAGCCCAGCCGGTGTGGGTGCAGCACCCCGGGGGCGCACACCCACCGTGGGACCTGGCTCTCCGGAGCGCAGTCGGGACGCGCCCCCGCAGCACCAGAGCCAGACGGCGCGTCTTCCCCCGCAGGGAGTCAGCCCCGCGGGAGGCTGCCTGATCAGCCTCACCTGTGACTACCGCGTCCTGGCGGACAACCCCAAGTACAACATTGGTCTGAACGAGACTCTGCTGGGCATCGTCGCCCCCTCCTGGTAAGGCCGGGGGCTGGGCCCGCACTCCGCTCTGCCCTGGGCGAGCCCGTCCGCCTGGGAGCCTCCAGCAAGCGAATTGTGTTCCAGGTTTAAAGACACCCTGGTGAACACTGTCGGCCACCGCACGGCAGAGCGCGCCCTGCAGCTGGGGCTGCTCTTCCCGCCCGCGGAGGCCCTGCGGGTGGGCATGGTAGACCAGGTGGTGCCCGAGGACCAAGTGCACAGCACGGCACTGTCGGTGATGGCCCAGTGGCTGGCCATTCCAGGTGAGGGGCACAGGGAGGGGGCTGCAGGTGTGTGCACCGACGGGCGAGCCTCCCCCCCCCCACGGCTGGATGCTCTGGTGAGACCAGAGCCTTCACGCCAAGGTGCTCCGTGCAAGTCGTGGACGTGCCATTTATAAGAGCGGACTTAGTGTCCTGAGGTCACTATAACAGATTACCCCGAGGTGGGGGGAGGTGCTTAAAACAACAAAATGTGTTCTCGAAGTCAGCAGACCAGGAGACCAAAATCAGTGTTGGGGCAGGGCGGTGCTCTCTCGAGAGGCCCTAGGGGAGGCTCCTTCCTGCCACTGGGGGCTCCAGACATTCCTTGGCTTGTAGATGCGTCGCGCCCAGCTCCGCTTTCCCCTTTCCCCTTTCCCCTTCACGTGGCCTCCAGTTGCACACCCCCCCCCTCCTTTCTCCTGTTAGGACGTTTGTGGCATTTAGGGCCCACCCTAAACCCACGATGACCTCATTCCATCTACCTCCACAGAAACCCCTTTCCAAATAAGGCCACAGGCACAGATTCTAGAGCTGCGCTGTGGACTTGTATGGATCTTTTGGGGGGTCCACTGTTCAACCCACTGCACAAGTAGAAACAGCCTGCGTGTCCGTTTATAGAAATAGGGCTGGTGACGTCAGCTGTGACGGAGCCCGGAGGTCAGCGGACCGTGTCTAAAGGGCCAGGTAGATCTTCAGCCTGGTGGGTCAGTGTCCTCCACACTGTGGCGTTGGAGCACGGAGGCCGCCAGAGCCCGTCTGTGTTCAGTAGAACGGGCGCCCCTGATACCTAAATTTCATATAATCTTCACGTGTCCCAAAAATGTCTTTTTCTCAGTTTTTTTCCAATTATATAAAAATGTAAAAACCGGGGCACCTTGGTGGCTCAGTAGGTTAAGCGTCCGACTCTTGATCTTACCTCAGGGTCTCGAGCTCGGGGTCGTGCTTTCAAGCCCCACGTTGGGCTCTGCCATGGGTGCGAAGCCTACTTTAAAAAAAAAAAAAAAAAGGACAAACGATTCTTAGCTCACGGGCCACGGGGGCCAGGTTTGCTGACCCCTGACACAGACACACGGCTACATGCTGTGCCGCTGTTATTTATGTCGTAAGAGAACCTGTAGTGGAGGGAAACTATCCCCCATGGTATAGTTGAGTGAGAATAACAGGATAAAAGGCAAGGCACCCTATATGTTTTTCAAGGAAATGGGTAGGCAGTGGGGAACAGGTGATTTTCATTTTTTTCTTTGCTTAGTTGTATTTTCTCAGTGTCCTGGCAGAGCTTCTGTTGGAAGTCTCTCGGAAAGGTTGGGCACGATACGACCGTCTTGGGGTGGGTTCTCACACACGGACCCCTTTCTGTAGACCACGCTCGACAGCTGACCAAGAATCTGATGCGCAAGCCCACAGCCGACCGCCTGGTCAAACAGCGCGACGCGGACATCCAGTACTTCCTCCAGTTCATCTCCAGGGACTCCATCCAAAAGTCCCTGCGCGTGTACTTAGACAAGCTCAGACAGAAGAAAGGCTAGGGTCCGGGCCGCGCACGCGGGGTTTGCACCACATGTGGCCTTCTGGGGGCCCTCTTCTTCCAATGGGTTCTAAGCAAGGTATTTTCCGATTTCAAGGTACTTTCAGCTCTTGGTCTCGCTGGTCTGTTCCTGGTAGCTAGTATCCCAAGGCCACTGCCCCCCAAAAGCTCCTTTTCCGCCTGGCAAGTGGGCACGGCGGGATCGGGGGGCGGCATCTCTGTTGGGGAATCGTGAACTGGCAGGAGGGGCAGTGCAGGATTCAGAGACATCGCTGCTGAATGTCCCCTTTCCCCAAGCAGAAGTGTGAATAAAGTCCTCACGTTGTCCCGTAACTGGCTGCCCGGCCGCCTGACTGCTAGGGGCACGTGACCAGCCCGGTGTGGGCCGGTGAGCCGCACGGGACCCCCAGAGGAAAGCACTCTGGCCACCCCATCTGCCTGTTTACATGGAGGGGGCACAAAGGTTCAGAGACCGGGTGCTTGGGAAGCAGGGAGGGGTGAGCCCGTCTGTGCCACAAGAGCCCCGGCCTTACTTTAGGAAGGTGACCTGAGAAAAAGTCACGCGGGCTCTTGAAGCAAACGTATATCCTCCACACAGTTCAGGCCAGTTCCCAAAGTTGCCAAACGTGAGATGTTTCCCAAACCAGCAACCTCCCTGGGCCTGTCAGTCATACCCTGTCCCCCATTCGTGCTCGTTCCCGATCCTCAGGTGATGGGCTTCCCCCGGGACACAGGCCACAGTCCTCCCCAAGTCCTTGTCCAGCCCAGGGCTCCTGAGAAGGAACCCGCCCCGCCTGGGCAAGGCGTTCAGCCTGCTCGCCCCTGAGGGAGAGAGAGGGTCGCAGGGACTGTGAGGTTGGCCCTGTCAGCACTGCCCGCGCGCGTGTGTGTGTGTGTGTGTGTCCCCAGCTGCGCTCAGCACGAGTCCTCGGACACATTTACGGTTGGCACGGAGGAAAAGCAAGCACACTCGGGAGCTGCATTCTAGAGCCTGGTCTGGAGGATGTCAGTTCCCAGCAGGGTGTGACACCGGTGGGCCGGGCCATCCCTTTTCCCCTAGGGGGCCGGGACCTGGGACCCACTGGGCTGCGGCACCAAAGTCTGGGCCTCACAGGGGTGGAGTCCTAAGAAAGGACACGGAGGCCTTGAAGCCGACCAGTGTGTGGTCCTGGCTAAGCGCTCACTCCCGTTTATTGAGCACAGCCACACGCCCGGCGCCCTGTAGGTGCTCCTCACAAGGAGGAGACAGATGTCGTAGCCCATTTTACAGATGGGGAGACAGGCTGAGTGGGCCTGTGATGTGTCCACAGCCTCTTGTCCAGCCAGCCCTGCCCCACGGCTTGCTGGGGCTTGGCCAGCCATCCAGAAGGAGATCTGTGGGGGCCAGAGTCCTCCTCAGGTCGAGTCTGGAGGCGGCGTGCCCTGACCAGGCCTGGAAGGTTTTCAGTGGGACTTCAGGGTCACCTCCACAGGAAAATGGTCACTGATGGCAAGGGCCTGGAGGGAGAGGAAGGGGGGCCTGCTGGGCAACCTCTCCTCCCTTGCAAGCTCCACCCCCTCCACCTCCCACACCCCCACACCCCGCCCCGGGAAGGGGGGGGGGGGGGGGGGCCCGCGGGCATCTACAGCCCACTGTGCTGCCTGCAGGTGGCATGGGGCACGGACTGGGGACCCCACTCCAGAAGAGGCCAAGGGCATCTCCTCCCACCATCCCACAATTGTTCCTTTCGGCTAGAACTGAGCCCCTAAGGGCGCTTCCGAGACACTAGTGCGGGGAGGGGCGCCCCCGGCCGTGGGCAGCAAGACACTGGCCACCCCCACGCCCATCAGTTCCCCGCCACCCCCACGCCCACCTGAGTCTGGTCCAGGCCGAACTCCTCCTGGAAGTCGTGCACAGCGGCCGACTGGGGCTTCAGGCTCCTGCGCAGGCGGGCGCCGCACACCACGATGCGGTCGTAGGCGCAGTCCGAGTTGCCCACCGTGGTGTCCGCGCTGTCTGGGATGAGCCACTTGAAGACCTCGCTACTGCGCAGGCGGATTGCCGGCCAGTCCTGCGCCCTCACGTAGCTGCAGTCCGCATTGAAGTCGCCCAAGAACAGCAAGTCCTGCGGGGCCGCGAAGCCGGGGCTGAGCCCGCGAGAGGGACGCGCCCCCCACCCCCACCCCGGACGCGCCCGCTGGGGGCGGGAGCGGGACTTACGTCGGTGCCCCATTTGTCGATCACGTCCAGGTACACGTCGTAGAGAGCGTCGATCTCCGCCACGGCCTGGTGCGGCGCCGCGTGCAGCGGGATCAGCACTAGCTCCCCGGCAGCTGCGGAAGGCGCGTGTCAGAGGCGGGGGGTGGGGCGGGGCGGGGGCGGGGCCGCGGAAGGGGAGGGGCGGGGCCTTACCCGAGCCGGGGGCGGAGAACTTGACCACGAAAGGTTCACGACTGAAGGCGTCCTCCGGGTCCGGGTACTGGTACGTGTCCACCACCGACACCGCGTCCTTCCTGGGGGAAGGAGACTGGTGGTGGCGCTGAGCCGGCCCCCTCCTGCCCTGCGCGCCCAGGCCCCGCCGCCCCGCCCCTCACCTGTAGACGAACAGGTACATTTCTTTGTACTGGTCCCGACCCAGGGGCTCGCTGCTCACGAAGCTGTACTCGTGCCTGGACACGCTGCGGAGACAAGGGCCAGGCCCGCGGTCAAGTCACCCGCCGGGCCCTGCGAGCCCGGCCTGGGCTCCGAACGCTGGACCCTGTCCCCCGCACCTGTTGATCTGCTCCATGAGCGCGGACACGGCGCTCAGGTCCGGGTCTCGCACCTCCTGCACCAGCGTGATGTCATAGCCAGCCACGATCTGGGGGAGGGGCCGGCAGGTGCGGGGTCACGCGCCGGCGAAATCACCGGAGAAGCCCAGCTGTGGCCCCGCCTCCCGGCCCCTGGCCTCACTTGCGCAATGACACCGCCGCAGGCTGGGTCCGACACTTTGCTGTCGCCAAAGCTCTGGATGTTGAAGGCTCCGATGCGCAGCGCCGCGGCCCCGGCGGCCCCCAGCGCCCAGAGCGCGGCCATTAGGGCCCGGAACCCACCCATGGCGCGGAGCGGGCGGCTGGGAGTGACAGAGACGCTCCTGAGTTTGAATCTGGAGTCAGACACACCAAGCCGCCCCTCTCCGCCCCAGCCCCGGGGCCACGGGGGCCGGTGAGAACGCTTGACACAGAGGTTCCCTGCGTCTCCATGTCTCCCCAGTGGTGCACTAGGCTTACCGTGGCCCTTCTCCATCGTAGGGAAACTGAGCCCCAAATACAAGCACCCCATTCCCATCCAGCCCCCTGGTCAGCCCAGTCCTCCCCAGCCACGGGCACCCCCACACAGGCCGGCTCCATCACTCACCTGGGATGCGGATGGGGCAGCAGCCGAGGCTCAGGATCTAGGTCAGAGATCCAGGCTGGGGGTGTGTCTGTGGCACAACACAGACTCCGCGCTTGGTGGGGCAGCAGTTCTGGTGCCAGGGCTCAGGCGGGTATTTGAGGCCCTGGTCCAGGGAGGGGCTGGACTGCTCTGGGTCCGCCCCCTCAATGAAGCTGGACGCTGGAACTCCTGGTGGCCAGTCCCAGGGAGAGCCCTGACGGCCAGGTGGCAGAGGCATCCACCCTGGGCCTGCTCTGGTGCCCCCAAGCCCATCAGAAGCGGGACTCCGCAGACTCTGACCGCCTCCCAGCACCATGTCAGGACTGGATAAGAGGGTCAGCCATCCAAGGTCCAGTCCTTGTTCCTGTCCTCCCCCCACCCCCCAAAACTAGGTCATCCAAAATCTCCCTCCTTCAGCGGCACCTTCTGGGAAAACAACGCAGTGCAGGCCTGTCCCCCCACACGCTGTCACCTCAAGGGAAAAAGCCTTGGTCCCCTGTCCCAACAGACAGCACCAGGGCTGGAGGCGGGGAAACGGCATCCCCTTCCACCCACCGGGGGGGGGGGGGGGCTCAGGAAGCTGGAGTCACAACTCCCACTGGGCAGGGCAGCAGGAGGAGGCTGCCTGTCCACATGCCAGTGACACCCACACACCGCCAAGGCGCCGCCAGCCCCTCCGGAGCCCTGGGCGGGGCGGCCGGGCATGAGAGTCCAAAGGGTGGCCCGGGCAGGTGTGCTGCCACAGGGAAACCTGCCAGGACAGTGGCCCCAGACCCCGAGGCTGCCGCTGCCACGGCAACATCACAAGTGGCAGATTTTCACATTTTATTGTAAAGCAACAAAAAACTATTTACACTCCCATATCCCCTCTGAACACCTGAATTCTGTGTTCTTTCTTCTCTGGGTCCTCGCCCCTACCCAGCCCAGCCCCCAGGACCCTGCAGGCGGCCACGCTAGACAATGACCGTCTGCACCTCGAGCTGGCCCTCCGGTGAGGCGATGACCAGCTCGCCCGCATGCTCTAGGATTTCAATGTCCTCTGACGAAACCATGGTCACGGTGGCCTGCTCGGCGCCATTTGCACCCGCACGGGCCGTGAGCACGGTGCCCTCACTGATGGCCGAGGCCAGCGTCATGGCCACCTGTTCCGTCAGGCTCTCAGGGGTGGCGATGGTGATGGTGTCGGCGGCAGCCGCCTCTGGGCCCAGCCCCGCCTCCTGGTCCATAGTCACATTCTGCACGATGATCTGGTGACCGGCGCTGGCCTGGTGCACGATCTGCTGTACCACCTTCATGATGTGGCTGTCCACCTGTGGGGGCTCACCGCTCAGCTCGCGCTGCGGAGGGGCGGGGACGGGGGCCCACACCACCCTCCTTGGCCCTCCCCCAGCCCCTCACCTCTGTCTGGGCGCCCTCAATGATCTCCGCGGCTTCGCTAGCCTCCGCGTCGTCCGCAGCAGCCTGGACACGGGTCAGAGGTCAGCCGACCCCAGGGGAGGCTCCCCCACGCCACCATCCCACCCCGCCCCTGCCGCACCCACCTCAATGATGTACTCCTGGGTGTCGGCCACGACGGAAGAGAACTCAACCAGCACGGCGTGCGGGTCCTCAGCGAGGACTGCGGCGGCGGCCGCGGGGCTCTCCTCGGCCACCAGCAGCTCCTCCACCTCTAGCAGGCAGCCGCCTGGGGCGGGGGGGGGGGGGGGCCTGGTCAGCACGCCGGGCACCCCTCCCCGCCCTCGCCCCCCACCGCGCCGGGCCCTGACCTTTGGTGCGCAGGTGCCTGTTGAGGGTGCCGTGCTCGGCGAAGCCCCGGCCACAGCGGTAGCACTTGAAGGGCTTCTCGCCCGTGTGGTGCCGCACGTGCCGCACCAGGGAGCCCTTCTCCCGGAAGCCACGGCTACAGAACGGGCACACGTGCGGCTTCTCCTCCAGGTGCGTCCGGAAGTGCACCTGCTGGGCGTTCTGTGGACCCGCACCGTCAGTGCCGGCCTGGCCTCGGCCTCTGGGCCAGGCCGGAGGGGCTGGGGGAGGGGCTGTGTGGTCAAGAGGCAGGGACGGGACAGGGATCTGGCCCAGGAGAGGGGAGCCCTTGGGTGTCAGGGGTCGGGGCCCGAGCACCCACCTTGGTCTTGTAGCACTTGCCACACTCAGGACACGGATAGGGCCGCTCATCTGAGTGGACGCGCCGGTGGCCGCGGACATGTGCGATGGTCTTGTAGAGCTTCCCGCAGTCTCCGCAGCGGAAACGTCGCTCGTGCACGTGAACCTCCTGGTGCTTCTTGAGCAGGTAGGCCTTGGGGAAGGCCTTGCCACACTGCACGCATGTGAACGGCCTCGGCCCTGGGGCCGCACGGGATGTCAGGCCGGGTCGCCACCCAAGGGCCCCAAACACACATCCTGGCTGGCTGCCAGGTGCCCCCCACTCCTGCCACCCACCTGCGTGGCCCCTTTTGTGGGCCTCCAGGGTGGCCGCCGTCGGGAAGGTCTCACTGCATTGAGGGCACGGGTGGGTCCTAGGCACGGCTGAGGGCCCGCTGGCCACCTGCTGGCGGGCGGGGGGAGGTGTCCCGGCATGCCTCCAGCACCCACTGCGGGCTGGACCCCAGCAGCACCAAGAACAGAGCCGTGGCACCCCCCACACCGGCAAGCTCCACCATGAGCCCAGGGAAGGCAGTAAATGGGGGGAAATCACTGCAGAAAGTGGCTCAATGTTTCCACCCCAGGGAACACAGCAAGGACGGCTCCAGGGCCAGGGTCGTGACCCTGTACCCAAGGTCTGACCCCCAAAGGAGCTCGCCAGTGGCGCAGGCACCTACTGTCTCCACTGGCTCCACCTCCAGCAGCGGCAGCTCCGGGGGACCATCTCCCAGGGGCTGGGGACTGGGTGCCGCAGGAGGGGCTTGCTCCAGGGCCCCCTCTTCTTCAGTGACACGCTCAAGGACAATGCCGGAGTTCTGCATGGCCTGGTGCAGCAGGTTCTCACGGCCACCCTCACCGGAACAGGGAAGCTCCTCGGAGCCGGGGGGCTGTGGGCAGGCAGACGGAGGGCAGCTGGTCAGGCAGAGACACTCGGTACCCACTTGCACGCACTACACGGAGCAGAGCCAAGGGGCCCCAGGGGCACTGTGCATACGTCTTGGGGAGCCCCACAGCCCATTCCACCTCACCTCCAGCTCCCTGTCCCTCACCCCTCCCTGCCCTCTGGCATGCCATTGGTCTCCTGTCTCCCCTGCAACCACACTGAGCACCAGGAAGGCAGGCCAGCTTGGTCCCGTTCCCGCTGGAGCCAGTGACCGGCACAGAGCCCGGCACTGAGCGGACAGAGGCCAGCCCCTGACCTGCCCGCACCTCTGGGGCCAGGGCTTTCATGCCCAAGGGAAGTTCTTGCATCTGGACATGGACTTCGTGGATGACAGTGCCCTTGGCGTCTGTCACCAGGTGAATCACAGGCGATGTCTCCATAGGTTCGCCCGTCACCGATGATGATGTAACGGTCCCCACGGTGGAGGCGCCAGATCCTTTAAGGCAGAACCAGGAGAGTCCCTGAAGAGACCGCTGACCAGGGCAGCACCCAGGCCCGGGCCAGGGTGGGGAGCCCCTACCTCGCGGACCTGCAGGCGTGTCCTCTTTGCCCACAAGCACGTCCTTGCTCGTGCTGAAGCGAATCTTTTCGGTGCACGGGGTCAGAGACTTGAGGTGCCGGGTCAGCGCACCCGACTCCCGGAAGCTCTTCCCGCACTTGGCGCACTTATAGGGGCGCTCATCTACAGAGAGGGCAGGGTCAGCCCCGGGGCCAAGGGGCAGGCAGGCCCCCAGCCACAGCCTCATGTTCCCCCCAGAGGCAGGGGCCACAAGGCCGGCTCACGGCCCCCTCCTGGCTCACCCGTGTGCCGCCGGTGGTGCCGGATGAGCGAGCCCTTGGTCCGGAAGGACGCCCCGCACAGCTTGCACTCGTGGTCCTTACGGCTGCTGTGGGTGACCATGTGGGCCTTGAGGATGCTGCCCTGGGGGAGAACGGGGAAGCAGGGCTCAGGCACCTCCCCGGCGGAAGTGGGAGGGAGGCCCGGCCCCACCTGCCGGCGGGGCCCCGAGCACACAGCCCCCGGCCTCACCGTCTTGAAGGTCTTGTGGCACAGCGCGCACACGTATCGGCCGTCCTTGTTCACCAGCAGCTTGACCTGGGCCTGCTCGCCCTCCCCGGGAAGGCCCGGGCCCTGACGGCTGGGGCTCCCTGGGGCTTCCGCCATCTCGTTGTCCCCCGGCTCTGCCTCGGCGGCCACAATGACCTCTTTGATGTGTCCACCGCCTGAGAAGAGGGTCAGCCTGAGCCTCGAGACTCTGCGGGCCCTGCCACCTCCTTTGATCCCTGCCTGGGGACGTTGCTAGGACACGGTGGAGCTGTCCTGACAGCCCTCCAGCTCCAGGGCCTAGTATCTGCTCCCTGAGCTGGAGGCCGCCCAGAGGAGCTCCAGGACCCCAGAATGTGCCCAGTGGGGAGACCCACCATGAGCACCGGTGCCCCCTCCTAAGCCAAGGAGCGCAGGACCGGATGTGTGCAGGGGTCCTGCCCCCTCTGAGGACAACTGAGTGCCAGCACAGAGACGGTGGATGGCCCGGCCCCGCTCACTGCACCGGCTCCCACTGTCAGGTAAGAAAGATGCCTCGGGGAGCGGGGGGGGAGGTCACCCACTGTGTCTTGAGGCAGGCAGGCTGGGGACCCTCCCGGGAGAGTGACTGCTCCCGAGAAACCTGGAGCTGCTTGAGGAAGGAGGCCTGGCCTTGGCGCCTCTCACGGGTGATGAAAAGTTCTGACAACGTGCAAAGCTAAGCTGTAAACACACTTCATGATTTCTGCTCATAAAAACGACACGTGGGAAGCGGCTGTAAAGCCACTTCTTAGGAACCATCTCAATCAGTCAGACATAGTGTGTTGACAAGCCATTCTCACACAGAATGCAAGCACCGTGACTCAGACAATTAAGGCCATCTCTCGCCCATGCCCTGGCTTATGCGCTGGATGCTCTATCTTTGCTCCGCCCCAGAAGCAAACCTCCAGAAGGCCAGGGACCTCTGCCAGGCGAGGACTTGGGGTAGAGCGTGGCACAAGACACAGCAGGCGGACGGCTCAAGGAAGTGAGAACAGGGCTGCCCTGAGTCCAGAGATGAAAAGCAAGTTTGTTTCCAGCCAAGAGGCAGGAGGGCCGGGAAGAGGTATCTGGCCCCCCACACAGCCCCTGCCGACTGTGGCCCCTGGCCCCCCAATCCTGGGAAGCCAGCAACTGGCAGTTTAGGACTCTAGCCAACCCTGGAGCAATGAGTAGCAGACTCCTAGCAGGCATGTGGTGCACCCAAGATGCCTGCAAAGGGGGAAACTCCCAAGGGGGCAGAGAGGCAGGAGGTACCCAGAGGGGAGCCCTCAGAGCACAGGGACGAGCCACCGAGCAGCAGGTGTGGGCCAGCTGGAGGTCAGGGGGGCGGGAAGGGGCCTGGCTAGAGGTGCCACCCAACCCCAGGGGATTTGTTTTCCCATATGATACCATCCAGGGCCAGAGCACGGCCCCACCCCCCACATGACAACATTCCTATCCAGAATGGCGACAGGTGAATGGGTGAATGTCCCTGTCCGCAGGAATGTCAGGCAGGGGAAGGGACAGCATGGAGACAAGGACGGATGTCCGGCTGCCTCCCTGAGGTGGGTCCGTGGCAGAAAGGCCTACTCTGCGGCTCCCCTCCCGAGGTCTCCACCCCTCTTCCTGCCCCATCTGGTCCCAAGGGCTTCCCAAGGCCAAGGTGTACCTGTCACCCAAACCCACATCCTGTGCAGCCGCCCACTCAGGCACCTGCCAAGACTCCTGCCCAGCAGACCCGTAGATAACAACCCTTCCTTCCAAGCTGGGCAGCAGGCTGCACCCTCCTGTCCGGCTGCCTTTGAAGGCTCCCCCTTCCCATTCCAGACCTATCAACTCCCCCCTCTCCCACTGCACACCAGCAAGGCACTCGAACTTAAAAAGAGCCATCAAAGAGGCTGACTGGGCACTATACGCTCATAAAAGCCAGGTGAGAATCAGGGCAGGAGTTGCCACCCCCACGGGGGTGGGGGGACAGCCAAGGTCAGACAGCAGGTCTGGACAGGGCTGGAGCCACCGGTGCATCCTGTGCATACCCCAACCTGACCCATCAGAGTGGACTGTGGGGTGGGGAGCAGGAACCGGGGTTGGCAGAAAAATGGGGAAGATTCCAGAAGGACCAGGGAAGGGCCAGGGAAGCAGCAGGAGCAAGCAGCCAGCTCGTGACTGTGCACAAAGTGAGGACTCCCTGAGCGCAGGCCACACGCCCCCCCTCTCCTGGCGGGCGGGGCTTGGTGCCCAGTGCTCACTCTGGAGGTCCTCGGCCCTCCTCAGCCAGGCTTTGCTCTCAGGAGAGCAGAGGGTCACAGCAGCAAGGGTCCCTCGCCTCCAGCCCTAACCACAAACAGCTGTGCTGAGAGCCACACATGGACAGACACTGGGAGACCGCGCCGGCTTACCCACGATGTCGGGGGCGTGGCTGATGTCTGTCGTTAATGCGGCCGTCTCCACCACGATGTGGGCCACCGTGATGGGCTCCTCCGGGCCGGCCACCGCTGGCACCACCTGCCGTGGGGGGACAGGGGACAGAAAGGATTTTCCTGCAGGGCTCCAGAGTTCCCTTGGCTTGGAGAGGGAAGGCTTGGGTTTATCTCCACATGGGAAGGCTGCGGTGGGACCTGTCATCTCCCCCGACATCTCTCCCACCCTAGTCCCTCCAACCCACGCCTAAGGGGTCAGCCCCGTCACTCAAACGCCCCTGGCCACCATGGGCCGGATGCAGAGCAGCGAGCACCCTTGCAGAGGGCTCCCGGGAGAAGTGACCGGCAGTTCCAGCCCGAAGCCCAGTTGGCTGTGCAGGGATGAAGGTCAGCACCCTCACCCACCAGCCCCAGCCAAGCTATCAAGTGATGTGGGTCCAGGGGCCTTCCTAGAGGAAAGGGCACCACCGGGAGGGGCCAGGAAAGAGCACAGGGTCTGAGGGAGATGGCTGTAGTCCCACCGTCCTCTGGGCCATTCCCTGTGACGAGCTGAGGCGGCTGACATCTCCCAGAGCCTCCTTTCCCAATGCCATCCGACGAGGGGCCCAAGAACACCACTGTGCAAAGGTGCTGGGGACCTTCAGAGGCCTGGATGCGTACAGCCCGAGCACGTGCAGCATGACAACCTTGGCCATGTTTATGACAAAGTGCCAGGACTCCCAGAGCCACCCTTTGCAGGATCCCGAGAAACCATGTGTCAGGGGTGCCTGGGCGCTCAGGTGGTTGAGCATCTGACTCTTGTTTCGGCTCAACTCATGATCTCACAGTTTGTGAGTTCAAGCCCCACGTCAGGCTCTGTGCTGCTTGGGATATTCTCTCTCTCTCTCTCTCTTCCTCCCCCAGCCTCTGTCTCTCTGTCAAAATAAATAAATAAATTTTAAAAAGGAAAAGAAAAAGAAACCGTGCGTACAGGGCAGGAGAGAAGCCAAAAGAACAAAAGCCACCATGACAGCCCTGAGCCACTGAGCCAGGACAGACCCTGAGGCTCCAAGAAAGGAGGGATGTCAATTGTGCAGGCTTCAGCCAGAGGCTGCTGGGAAGGCAGGGCCATCCCAGGCCATCCAGGAAACCAGGAACACTGCCAAGCTCTTAGGGACAGGGCCCAGGCTCCCTCACCCATGACCAGATGCCTGTCCTCTGTCCACCCCCGTGCCACAGGGAACCGGCTGCACAGGTCTGTCAGGGCACGCACACACCCCTTCCCAGACACCAGGTGAGCCCAAGGAGGAGGGCGCACATGTGCGTGGACGTGTGGTGGCAGGTGGAGAGGGCTCACCTCCTGGCCCAGCAGCGCAGCAGCAGCAGGGGCGGCAGGCAGGGCCTCCTGAGGGGCCCGCTGGCAGACTTTCTGGAGTTTGTGCTGAACAAAGTCTTCCAAGGCAGTGAACTCGGCCTGGCAGCGGCCACATCTGTGCACATCGTCCTCATCTGCAACAAGCCTGTGCTCAGTGGGGCCTGGGAGGGCCTCCAGCCCCAGGCCAAACCCACCGAAGGGTGCCATCGGACCACAGGCACCTTCCGGCCTCTGGTGACCTGCGGGAGAGGTGCCCACCCCAGGGAGAACAGCATCCAGCAGGTGGGGGCCCCAACCTGAGAGTTAGACTGCAGAGATCCAGTGAGGCTGCCGTGCCCAAAGCCCCCACTTCAGAGATGAGGGGACAGAGCCCCAGGGAGCAGCTAAGAGGTGGAGGGATTCACCCAAGCCGGTTTGGGGACAGCGGAGGACCAGAGTTTAAGACTGCTTCATCGGCTCCGAACGGGCAGGAGCTCCCTCTTCTGGAGAAGACACTCAGGGCGGAACTTCCCAGAGAGGCTCCACACCCCAGGCTCAAGTCCCTCACCATGTAGGCTGACCATGCCTGCCCCAGGTCCTACAGCAGGCACTTCCCACTCACTGAGCCCCTCCTGGGTGCCAGGCACCTCACTGGGGATGTCCCCAAATCCAGCCAGCGCCCTGAGGAAATAAGGATGACTATTCTCATTCCAGGAAAATCACCTGAGATTCAAGACCACCCAGCTGGTGAGTGTTCGGGCTAGAATCTGGACCTGAGGGTCTACTCCAGACGCCCCGCTATTTGCACAAAGGGATGGGAGGATGCTCCTTGTGCTTCTATAAAAGTCTGCCAGTTCCCACCACCTCACATCCGGTCCCACATCAAGGTCAAACCCAGGCCTGGCACACGGAAGGATCCCAGTCCATGTCTTTTGACTCAGTGAGCAAACAAAGGCCCACACCACAACCATGACGGGCCCACACAAGACCACCTGCCAGAGGGCGATCCCCTCCAGATGGTTCGCAGTCACAAGCGAAGCACTGACGTGCCCACCACCCTTTTAACCTTCCCCCCTTGCTCTCCAAGTCTGACTCGCTGTTGCCAGCGAAGGAACGCCCACCACAGAAGGGGACACACTCCGCCCCGTGTAACAGTGACAAGGCTGGGGGCAAGCACAGCAGGGCCCAGCAACCTCCAAAGAGATCCCTCTCCAGGCTGGCACTGCCCCTAGTGGTACTGCCCCTCCCCCAGCTGGAATAAGAAGGAGCAAGAAAAAACCATGCGCTGAGCATAGGAGTTCTGCGGAGACGGGGGCCACTACCCCAATATCGCTAGCCAGCCCCCTCCTGTCTGGCCCAGTCTATAGCCTCATGAGACAAGCTCGGAGGAGAGAGACCCAACTTCTGTCTGCACAAGCTGTCAGGGCGCCCGGTAGTCCGCTCTGCCCTCAGCCAGTTGCCACCGGCTCCGTCTTCCTTCTCACCGGGGTCCGGGGAGGCAGCGCAGCCCAGAAGGTAGGGGAGTCGGTTGAGGAGTCACACAGCCCTGGCATCCAGTCCAGTCCTTGCTACTTACTAGCTGGGTGACCTGGTCACCTTCACACCTTTGAACCCCAATTTCCCGCATCCACAAAATGGGAATGAATCACAACAACAACAACAACAACAACAACAACAACAACAGGAGCGTCCAGGGTTGGTTTGAGGACAAAAACGCTGATGCCTGGTAAGTGCTTAACACGTTTTTAGCAGCAGCAGCAGCGGCGGCGGCGGCGGCGGCGGCAGCAGCATCCCCTGCCCAGGACCAAACAGCGAAAGTGGCAGGTGTGGGATGGAGCCCGCAGACCGGCTCTCCACCACTGGGCTCTGCTGCCTCCCCGAGGGGCAGCCGGGGGCCTGGGGGGGAGGCCCCGCCCCACCGCACCCCCAGCCTCCAGCCCCACCCCAGCCAGGGCTCTAGAAACCCGTCAGGTGCATTGGGAGGGGGCCCAGAGGAGGGCGGGGCCTTGCCCAGACAGGGAGGCGAAGAGGCGCCTGACCGCCGGCCTGAGGGCCAAGGCCGCCAGTGGAGGCGACGGCAGAGGTCTACACACGAGCAACCCCACAGCCTTGGGCACCTGTGAGTACCCGCGAGTGGGCACCGAGGCCCATGGGGTGATGGGCGTCCCACAGGAGAGGCCCGAGGGTCTGAGGAAGCCGGGGAGCGCGTGGAGGGCCATGCAGGACCCCTTGGGGACCCGTGAGGTCCGCAAGGAACCGGGGTCTGGGACGGTCGGTCGCGTCCACAGCTTAGGCCCTCGGAGCCGCCTCCAAACCAGGACTGAGCCGTCCCCACCCCGGCCGCGCCCGACCCTGTCAGGCCCCGTCAGGCCCTGTTACCTTCTTCGCTAAAGGGCGCCGGGAGGCCGAGGAACCCGCCAGGAGCCAAGGCCGCCGCCGCCGCCGCCGCGACCCCGCCCTCGCCCGCCTCCCGCCCGGCTTCGGCCCGGGCTTCTGCCGTATGCGCGGCCGTCACCCGCACTGCCATCGCGCCCTCCATGTCGCAACGCGCCGCAGGAAGATGGCGGATTTACGACCGTGTCGTCATAACAACGGGCCGCGCTGAGGCGAGCGAGAGAAAACGACAAGAGGAGGCCGACGGGGCGGAGCCAGGTGGGTTTGACAGACAGGCAGCGGGGCGGAGCCTAGGAAGAGAGGCCTAGAATCTCAGAGGCGGGGCCAGACTCCCGGAGAGAAGGCAGGGGGAGGGGCTGCTCGGGGGCGTGGTTACGCTGGAGCGGACTGACTGGCAGGCGGAGGGGCGGGGACAGAGGCGGGCCCGAGGGGCGGGGCTGGGTGAGGCGGAGGCGTGGCCATGCCGGAGGAGCGAAGGGCTTGGTTCCCCGAGCGGCCCCGGAAGCTTCAGGAAAGGTTGAAGCAGACGTTCTGAGCCGGTGGTGCAGCCGCGGGCGCCCCGCCGGCGAGACACTGCCCCACCCCAGCAACGGCGGGTGGTGTGGTGCGCGGGTAGTGCGGTGCTCGTCGCCCCAGCCCCACCCCCTCGGGTCAGAGCCTCCCTTGTCGCCACGGTCGCCGGGAGGCACCCGATTTGGGTTTGGCTCACGGGTAGCTTCGCTAAGCCTTTTATACTTACGCCTATTTTTTAAATTGTAATAAATATACATAAGACTTGCCTTTAATGGCATTTAGTGCATTCACAACGTGCACACAGTGTGCATCACCACCGCCAAGTTCCAGAACATTGTCGTCATTCCAAGAGGAAACCTAACCCCTTAGCACTCACTCCCCATTCTCCCCTACTCCCAGCCCCTGGCAACTACTTTCACTCTGTAAGGATTTGCCTTTTCTGGATATTCTCAAATAAATGGAATTACACATGTGGTCTTGTACATCTGGCTTGTTTTGCTTAGCATAACGTTTCCCAGATTCATCCGTACTGGAAGCACGTCACTACATTTCTTTTTATAGGCTGAATAATATTACATCGCCAGGAAAGACCACAATTTATTTAGTCTTCGCATTCGGTTGGGTTGTTCCCACCTTTTCCACTATTATGAATAGTGCTGCCATGAACACACATGTACAAATTCCTTTTATTCTTTTCAGGTGATATTTAATTAGCTCTATGAAGCTAAGCACTTTACAGGATTTTCTCATTTAAGTACCAATCGCCCCCATTTTGAAGATGAAGAAACTGAGGCACAGTACTGATAGGACGCTTGCCCAAGGGCGGACTGGAGACGGAAGTCTGCACAGAGCCATGGGCTGGAAACCCACAGGATGTGCTCTCTCCCACATCAGTTATCTTCTGTGGCCCAGCCCTGTGCTGAATCCCAGAGACTCAGATGAATCAGAACTGGTCTCCTCCAGGAAGGCTAATCTCTAGAAAAGACCAAGCAGAGACTCAAGGGACGGGGCAGAGAGTAGACTGTTCTGCCCTGGCAAGGACACCAAGCAGAGACTGTCTCCATGCTGGGGCTGCCCAGCTGGGCCCCCGAGGACCCTTGGCCTGGCAGAAGCCGGCCTGTGTGAAGCACAGGTCAGACGGTCAGAGGTCAGACTGGGTAACAATGAGGTTGCTTTCTGCATGAGGCTTGCTCGCCAATGCAGGGGGATAGGCCGACGGTGTGAAAGCATTTCAAAAGGATCCCTCTGACTGCTGTGCGGATAAAAGGACCTCAGGGCCCATAGAGGCAAGAAGATCCCAGATGGATGGTCTCTGAGAGGGACAAACCGGAGGAAGACCGGGGGCTGGGGGGAGCTTGCGGAGGGGGCTTCTGGGAAGGTAGGACCAGGAAGACACCTCACTTAAGGATGTGCTGAAGAGTAATGGTGAAGCCAGCATCAGAGAGAGAGAGGAAGCCCCAGAGGAATGGGATAGGGCAGGGTCTCAAAGGCAGAGGACACCCTGAGTGTGGGTGGACACGAGGAGGAGCCGGCCCAGGGGAGACAGAGAGCCTGCCTGCCGCGTGCTCCAGAACCGTGTCCAGAGCGGACCAAAGCTCCTGCCTGGTGGCTCCCTGGGAGTCAGGAAAGGGCATCCTGCACCAGTGAGTCCCAGGTCCTGCGTTACGAGAGCCCAGGCAAGCCAGCGGGTACAGGGGCAGACAGGCCTAAGGTCGCTGAAAGGCAGAGTGGCCAGACAAAGACAGGAAAACCGGAGTCCCCACTCCCCCAAACAGCCTCCTCCCCGACCCAGCCCTCCGCGGCACGGGCTCCAGCGGCACCCTGTGTGTTTTTAGAGTCAGTGCTGTGCTGACCTGCTGTGGCCAGAGCCACGGAGACTCCATCACCCTTTATGAGGACTGCTCAACCTCTGTTCTTTGATGGACTTATTGAACCAATCCCGTGCTGAAGAATATTTAGATTGCTTCCGAATTTTTTTGTGTGCCACTTCAGTCCTTTTGAAATGACTCCCTTTTTTACTTAGCTCATTGGAAGCAATACCATCTGCGAAAACAGATTCAATGGCTACTTGCATTTTCTAATACGACTTTTTTCATGTTTGCTTATTTATTTTGAGAGAGAGAGAGAGAGAGTGAGCATGCAAGCAGGGGAGGGGCAGAGAGAGAGGGAGAGAGAAAGAATCCCGAGCAGGCTCCTCACTGTCAGCGCAGAACCCAACGTGGGGCTCGATCCCACGAACCACGGGACCATGACCTGAGCCGACATCAAGAGTCAGACCCGGCCTGCTGAGCCACCCGGGCACCCCCATTCGTTCCTAATACAATTTAAATCCATGCAAGGCTGTTAAAATTAAATAGCGTCTGGTGTCTGTCCTTGTACCATCTAAATCCGTGCCCCGTATAGCCTGCAGGGGGGGCTTCCTCACTTTGGGGAACCCTGGCGCCATCCATTCGCAGGTGTACACCGAACGTCTACTGTGTGTCGGGAACACATCATGACCATGATGCACTCCTCCCCCATCTATACAGGGCACCTCACTCAAGGTCAGCCCCCCTGCCATAAAGTGCACTGTCCCTTCCAGCCTCCTGCAGGACCATGACCACAACCACCTCCCCTCTCGACACTGGCCGCCCCACCTTTCCCACCATGCCAGCTCAGTCCCTACAACCCACAGGACGTGTCAAACCAATCAGGTATGGCAGAGCTCCACTTTGGAGTCAACTGAGTTTAATCCCAACCCTACCTCGTCCAGCCAGTGACTCTCTCTGGCTGTTTCCTCATCCACGAATGGGGACACTAATAGCCTCTGCCTCTTAGGGCTGTAATGCAGGTGAGGAGCAGGGCTCAGTGCCTAGATGCTTACCAGTGCCCAGGAGACCAAGGCACCCGGGCAGGTATTGCACACGCTGGCCCATGGCTGGACAGCAACAGCACTGGCCAGTGTACCATATACCCTGGATGCTTCTGGGTGAAAGCAGGATTTCTGGTCTTCTGTCAAATCCAGCTCTTCCCTGCGTCAGCTCCACCACCAAAACTAAGTGGGAAGACACAGGGAGGAAGGTGCTCCCCTTGTGGGCAGTGGGTGCACCAGGCAGGAACACTTTGCATGCCCTGCCTTTGTGGGCCACGGCCCCTCCAATCTCCTCCAGGGGTTCCCGGGCCAACAGAGACCAGCAGAAACGAGCCATGTATAAAAAAAACAGGGCCCTAAGGGAACTGAGGTCACTGGTTTTACCTCATGGGTTTGGGGGTGGGAGTGGGTCCAGAGCAGACTTTATGGAGACCTGGGGCCCAAGAGAAGAGCAGGAGTTTGACACTCTGGGAGCTGGGGGTCTGGGGCACCTGTCACAGGGTAGGCTTTCAAGAAACCGGGCCCTTTGTAATTCTGCTCCCTGGCCCTACTGGAAGTAATAACAATAAACATACACCTACCTGTGAACTTGCAGTTCCAATCGCAATTATATTTCACCCAAGAGAAATGAGTGCCTGGGTCCACAAATGAGTGTGTAGGAACCAGAATGTTCACAGAAGTATTATTTACAATGCTCCCAAACTGCAAACAACCCAATGTCCACCTACTGGAGAACAGACCGTCGGATGTATTCTTACAAGGGCTCACATGGCAATTAAAACGACAGAAAAGGATGGATTTCCCAGACATTGTGTCGATCCATAGAAGCGAGACTCATGGCAAGTCTGTGAGACCATCTGGAACAGGCAGAGGAGGCTATGACTCATTCCATGGTGACAGAAGTCGGAAAAGTGGTTGGGGGAGGGGTATCCGCTATTGACTGGCTGAGGGACTGAGAGGGAACTTTCTGGAACGAGGGAAATATTCTCTGGCTTGATGTGGGTTGTGTTCACACAGGCGTATAGGTATGTAAAATTCCATCAAGCTGCACACTTAAGATCGATGCACTTTTACCGTGTATGAGGCCTCAATAAACGTTAACAATGATACCAAATAAGATGATGGTAAGTGCTGTGTTGTACGCAGTGTCTTCTTAACCCCTAAGCCTGCCGCCTTGTAATAACTCGTTCGCATGACCACTAAGGCAATCCCGCCGCCTTATAATAAATAACCCGTTCACAGTACCACTAAGGCACAGGGAGAATGTTTAAAAAAAATTTTTTTTTTTCTTTACACTTATTCATTTTTGAGAGACAGAGCACAAGCGGGGAGGGGGCAGAGAGAGAGGGAGACACAGAATCCGAGGCAGGCTCCAGGCTCTGAGCTGTCAGCACAGAGCCCCACGCGGGGCTCGAACTCACCAACCCCGAAATCATGACCCGACCCAAAGTCGGACGGTTAACCGACTGAGCCACCCAGGCGCCCCTTAGGGAGAGCGTTTTTGCAAAGGACCGGATATGGGAACGCGAGGCCTGCCGGGACGGAGCCCCGGGATGCACTCGGCACTCAGCCGTAATCGGCTCACGCGCTAACACCGTGTCCGTCCGCAGCGTGCCCAGGGCGGAGGGCACGGCCCGGCGCCGCCCAGGAAAGGTGCAGGCGTGACGCCGACCCCAAGGCGGACCTCTCCGCCCGCCACAACGCCCCGCCGCGCTCCTGCCGCGGAGAAGCCAGCCAATCGGCAGCCGGCCCGGCCCGGGGTCACTCGATTAAGGGCCTCCGTCACCTAGGCTGACCACGCGGCGCCAATGGGCGAGCTGCCCTGCGGCCGCCAATGAGCTGCGGCCTTACGTCCAGCGCCGGCTCTGGGCTCCTCCGCAGCGTTTCCGCAGTGAACGCTCCTCTCCGAATGCCGGTTGGCTCCCTTCCAGCCAATCACCGGGGAGCCTCGGACTCAATAGCCAATGGCCGCCCGCCTCCCAGTGCCGGGCCGCGACGGTTGGCGCTGAGTTCCCGCAGCCCGCGGGAGGCGGGGGCGGATTGGCGCAGGTGGCGTCCAATGGGCGGCGCGCGCGAGGAGCGGGGCCAATGAGCGCGCCGGGGGCGGGGCGGGAGCTGC